AGCTGTCCCGCATCCGTCCAGTGCACATAGAGAGTGCGTGTGCCCAGCGACTTGCCCAGCAGGTCCGACTTGGCGCGGGCAGCTGAGTCCTTCTTCATGTACTCAGCAAAGCCATAGCCCTTGGAATGGCCAGTGCGCTCACTATAGACCAGGAAGCAGCGCTCAAGGCTGCCAAAGGGCCGCACCAGCTCCTCAAATTGCTGCTGTGTGAGACTGGGGGGCAGATTGGCCACGCAGAGCAAGGCATCAGTGGGCTGAAGCTGCACGGATAGTTCGCGCTCCCGCAGGCAGCTCTGGTGGAAGGTGCTGATGGCGGCCTCGGCCTGCTCCCCATTCAGCAGGGTCACAAAGGCTGCAGCAGGACAGGGAGTGGGTCAGTGGGGTCCTGCGGGGCTGCCCCTTGACCCCGTGTGATCTCAGAATACTGACCAACCAGGATACCTCAGGTCCCGGCAGACTGGATAGTTGCCAACCTTGAGGAATTCGCACAGGTGCTGGATAGTTGCCAACCTTGAGGAATTCGCACAGGTACCTCCTGCCTCCTGCTCCCTACCCTCACCCTTACCCCTGCTCTCAACCTACTTGTGAGTTCACCTGCTCTCTTATCTACTATGTACCTGGCTAGGTGACACATAGGAAATAGGTGAGTAACTTGGGTGACGCATAGGGTAGTCGTCAAGCAGGTGGTCACTGGAGCCTAGGTTTCAACTCCAGCTCATGTGGCTGTGGGGTCTCAGTTTCCCCATCTGTTAGATGAGAATAACTCACTCTTCATAATCATCATTGTGCCAGCAAGGAGATGGGTACAGAGCAGCAGCATGCCCGCCCAAGGGGAGGAGCCTGGACTTGAACCCAGGCAGACAGGCTCCACAGTCCCACTCTGCACCCCTTCCTCACCACCTTTCTAGGCTGCCAACATCTCTCACCTCTCATGTCCAAGCCCCTGTTATCAGCCGCAGTCCTGTTGCCATTCCTGGTTTGCTGTCCGCCCAATAGCTACAGCTTTTCAAAATGATAATCAGAATGTACCATGCCCTTATCCAGGGGCTTCTCACTACAGGGGCCAAGGGAGCCTGTGTGACCTGGCCCATGGCCCTGATGACCTCCTCTCCCATCTCTTGCTGATACTTCCTGGACCATGCCAGGCACATGCCCCCTCACATCTTTGCACTTGTTTTTCCCTGAGCGTGGAACACTGACCTCCTCTTCTTCACCTGGTTAATCCTGATCTACCCTTCAATCTGACTGCAAACATCACTTCCCCCACGAAGTCTAACCTGAGTGTTCCTGTTTCAGATCACAGCTCTGGGCTCCTACAGCACTCTGTAGCTTCTGGTCCCATGACCACTTCACCTTCACACCTGCAGTCATGTGACTGACACCCCCACTCCACCCCCAGACTAGACCGTCTACGCTTAGTTCACAGCTGTGTCCTCATGTCCCAGCATATACTGGCTGGCGCTCAAAAAACATTTATTGAAAGACAATATTAACAAAAGAATCACTTAACCTCTGGATCCTCAATGCCTGGCATATATACATACGAAGTGCTCAGTATACAGTTCTGACTTGTTGCCCCTCTTACTGTTTACTAAATGCTAGACACCCACAGCCTTTTTAGGTATTTTAATGTATTTGGCCTTGTGGCCTGCCCAAGCACAACTTGCTGGTGAGAAAATCGAGGCTCAGGAAGGATGAATCACTTCCTATGGCCACAGAGCAAGGACAGACCAGGACTTGAATCCAGGTTCATTTGCCTCTAGGGCCAAGATCTTAACCACTACCCTAACCCACCATGTAGGGGCACTTGTCCTCACCTGCTTCTCATCCAAGTTACAGATTGCAAGCACAATACCTAGAGGACAAAGATACCCACTGAGGGTCTCCCACAAAATGGGGGGAAGGATGCAAGGCTGACAGGACTCATCCCTGTTCTCATGGAGATGACTACTCAGTGTGGGAGGGTGAGTGAGCCAGCAGCAACAGCCCAAAGTGATCAATATTATGATGGGGAGAGGTTATTCAGGGCACTGTGAGGAGCTGCCTGCCTCCAACTGGATAGAAGAAGAGACAGCTAAGAACAGTGGCAGAGGAAATGCCTGGAAGACTGCCATTGAGGCAAGGCTGGGGCACATCCTTGCAAGATAGTGTGAAGAGGAGCCTCAGACAGGTTTTGAGGAGGAAGAAAAACAATCAGGTAAGCATTAGGTATGATTAGACTTGCAATCAAACTGATCAGATTTGATCGACCCTGGCTCCCTGGAGGAGGGCAAGTAAGAGTATAAAATCATACAGGCAGAGACCAGAGGGAGGCTGCCATTCTGGCAGAGATGGAGGGGCACCAATTGTTCTTGAGGGCCTAAAGAAGACCAGACAGGCTTGGGTGACTGGATGGCTGAGAGGGATGGTGTGGGAAGTGGGGGAGTCCAATGCTCAGGTATCTGGCTGAGCAGCCTGAAAGAGAAACATGAATATCAAGGCTGCTCCATGACAGGCATCCAGATAAGACTGGGGCAACAGTCTGTCCTGCGGTGGCCTAGGGGACGATGTTGGGCCTAAAATTCAGGAGAGGGGACGATGTTGGGCCTAAAATTCAGGAGAGGAAACGTTGAGCCAGAATGCTACAGCTTCAGGGACTGTCACCCCTTGCCACTAGCCCACCCTACAGCCCCACAAACCTGTCCCTTTGTATTTGTCCACAAAACAGTACTTGAGCTCATAGTCGCTGAGCAGGTCGTGCACTTCCTGTGGAGATAGAAGGCAAAGGACAGGGAGTCACCAGGAGCTGAAGTAAGCAACTCAGTGCCACCTTCACATGCGACAGCTATCTATGAAGGCAGGTTAATTGCAGGCCCCATTTTACACTGAAGGAATCTGAGACTCAGAGCAATTACTTGCCCAAAGCCACTGAGGCCATACCTGGCAGAACTGGGACTCAGAGCCCAATTGCAGACGTCGTGCTCTTAACCAACACAAAACACTCTCAGAGAGCCAAGTGGGCCCTGGCTGGTTTGGCTCAGCGGTTAGAGCGTCGGCCCTTGAACCAATGAGTCACGGGTTCAATTCTGGTCAAGGGCATGTATCTTGGTTGTGGTTTGTCCCCAGCCCTGGTGGGGTCATGCGGGAGGCAACCAGTCAATGTGGCTCTATCACATCGTCTCTCTGTCTCCTCCCTCTCCCCCTCACTCCCACTCTATCTGATAAGTAGAAAAATATTCTCGGGCGAGGAGTAAAAAAAATAATAATAAAGAGAGAGCCAGGTGGGTCTGAGTTCAAGTTCTAGCAATTCTGTATGCCCTTAGGGAAGTTGTTTAACCTCTCTGACCCTCAACTGACAAGACTGACTCTTTCTAACAACATTACAAGTTAGGTATTAACAAATCCATTTTGCAGATGAGGAAACTGGGGCTCAGAGAGGTGAAGGTCATAGGGATGGTAAAGACAGCAGCAGGAATGCCACCCAGAGGTACCTGACTGGGGACCCTGTGTACCTGAAGCCCACACTGTGTGGCTTCATGTGTTTCCCAATTCCCTACTGCTGACACAGCCATCTTCTTATAAGCCAGATGCGGGGGCGAGGCTCTGGGGCCTCCTTGTGCCAGATACACTGTGCACCTTTGCAGGAAACACAGCGTGTTCCTAGCTGAGATGACAGGTCCTAGGAGGAGGGCTGATTCTATGCTTAGTGGTGTTTGCTCCAGGTCTGTCCTCAAGTCATGCCCTCCCAACACTCTGGGGGCCCTACCAGCCATGTGTGAGGGTGAGCCAGTGGCAGATATGTTGATGGGCCAGAGAGCAGGAATTCTCAGCAACAGGAAGAAAGAGCCCATTCCACCACCATAGGGCAGGGCATACCAGATGCAATCTCCTTGGGTCCAAAGAGCACTGGAAAGCCCTGTGCGGTAGGCCTCAAGAGAAGCGCACCCCTGGCCAGATCAGCCAAGGGGGTGCTCCACAGAACACTGGCCCCTCCTTTCTTTCAGGTCTGTGGGCTAGGGGCAGGAGACCCCTTTTTCCAAATTAATCCTGGGTCTTTTGGGGAAGAAAGATCCCAGGAGCTGCTACAACTTTTGGCCTATCCCTAAGAGAAGTTAAACTGTGCTGAAGATACTCTAGCCAATCCTGAAACTGCGGGCTATGAGGTCCCGCCACCTCATGGTAGAGGGGAATGAGGAAAAACATAATCAGAGCAGGAAGCAACTGGCGTCTCTATTTCCAGAGTCCCAGTCAGCTGCCCATTCACAATCCCCCAACTTGGCCAAAGCTGCCCGCCCACTTCAATAACTTGGTCTCTACCAAACTTGTAGTAGCCCCTAGCAACGTCCTCCCTCAATACAAAGTTGGTTTCTCCCTCCATCAACCCCCCCCCCCAACAACCTGCTCTTGGTATCTCCTCAGGGATCCTGCGTTTGGACTCTCCTGCCGACGCCCCCCACCCCTGGGCACGCCAGCGTTGGTGTTGCCTGGTTTCCCCCGCGCACGCGCACGGTGGTATTTTCCGCCACGCTCCCACACCGCCCCCCCCCCCATACCTGGTTGGTCACGTCCCCCGGGAGGCCCCGGATCAGTATCTTGCGGCGGTTACGGAACTGGCGTTCGGTGTGTTCCAGGCGTTTCCTGATCTCCTCTGGATCTAGCGGCGGCAGTTCTTCTTCGGGCGCCCGGCGCTCCGGGGTATCATCAGCTTCAACCTCGGCCCCAGCCTCCGGGCTCAGCGGGGGCCGGTGAGTAACGGACACGTCGGCCGCCATCTTGGGAAACCCGGCGCCTTCTGGGACCAGCGAGCCGGGGCGGAGCGGCATAGAGCGGCAACGAGGACACGTCCGCCTATTGGCCGGAAGAAGCCCCGCCTCCCCCTTCGAATCTCTCAGCTCATTGGCTAAGGGCCAGCCCGCCTCCCGGAGTTTACACCGCCTCGGCGCCACAGCCTCAGCTCCTTGCCGCCGTTGGGAAGTCCCTGAGTGGACGCGTAGCGCAGTGGGAGAGCCCCTCAGCGAAGGAGGAATCAAGCCACAGACTCCGAATTTTGAGAACTTTATTGTTAAGAAACTCGGGGATGCAGCCAAACTCCCGTCGTCTTTGGCCCATTACTCCAGTGGCCCGAGGCTCAGGATGGCTCCTCCCCCAGAGCCTCGTTAAGCCCTCTAGACGTGAGGGGCAACAAGGTGTTCCCTTGATTCACATGGTAGATGTCACTACGCTTCTGCACCCCGAAGACGTACACTGAGGCCGCGATGAGAACCACAAGGCCCACGGTCGTCAACACCACTATGACGGAGGCGACGATGTGGGGGTTCCGAGCTGTGCAGAGAAGAAGGGAATAAATACTCGCACCCCTGTCCGCCCTACGCTTGCCCATCTAGACCCGCAGACCCGCCTCAGCTCACCTTGAACGTTCATCATCACGGTGAGAGTGTGCGTGCCCTGTGAGCTGGTCGCCAGGCAGTCGTAGGTACCGCTATAGTTTAACCTGACGCGGAATGGGATCCCGACGGACACCTGGGTCCCGGAGCCTAAGTGCAAACACTGTAGCTGGGGATCCGGGTTGCCCCTGGCCTCGCATTGAAGGACTTGGGTCGTTCCTTCTTTCCACGTCAAGTGCTGAGGACATTTGGCTGGGTCAATCTTGGGACCATCTGTGGGACCAACAAGTGATCAGACACACCCGAGGTACAGTGGGGCAAGAGAGAATTACATTTCTCCCTCGCCACTTCACGCTTCCATAGCTTCACTCTATGGTGGTTTTTTCAAATACAGTCGGTCCTCGTTTATCACGGTTAATCAGTTCCAGACTCTACCGTGATAAGTGAAATATAATATAGTATTTGAAAAAACTGCGATAGAATGAAGCCACGAAAGTCGAAGCACGAGGTGGCGAGGGACTACTGTATATAAATAAAGAATCCTACTTTGCAGGAATTTTATTTTATTTTTTTTTATCCTCACCAGAGGACATTTTCCATTTTTGGTTCAGATAGAGTGGGAGGGAGAGAGAGAGAGAAACATCGACATGAGAGAGACATCGACCAGCTGCCACCCACACGACCCAAACCTGGCCGGTAAGGGGCAAACTGCAACTGAGGTACATTCCCTTAGCGGAAACCGAACCCGGGTCTCTCTGGACCGCAGCCCGACGCTCTAACCACTGAGCCAAACCAGCCAGGGCAGGCGGAAATTCTTTTATCGCGGTAGAGCCTGGAACTGATTAATCGCAATAAACAAGGGCTGACTGTCTTTCCAAATCAGGAAAGCAAGGGATTAAAGGTGAGAGTGCCCTACTCACACAGTACACGCAGCTGGATGCTCCTGTTCCTATGCAAGACCATTCCATCCACCTCGAGGGCGGCATTGCAGAAGAAATTTCGTCTGTCATCCCTCTTGGTGGCATTTAGCTGAAGCAAGGCGAGCTGTCCTGGGGCGGCAGCGGGAACTCCATCCAATGTGACCTGGACTCGGGCTCCAGCAGTGCAAGTCACAATCACTGTGGTCCCCTGAAGGACGGTGGGCTGGCTCAGGTTCCTGATGGTCCCGTTCAGGTTCATGATGGGCCCCCAGAAGCCTAAAGTAGTGGTGTTGCCTGGGAGTTTGCTAACCAATCCATCACATGGGCCAAGCCCAGCCCTCCACCCGCATCTATCCCCCTCGGGGTATCTGGGCCTTGCCATTGAACTACTCTGCAGCCCCACCTAACTTGGAGCACTCAAGCCATACTCTAATGGTGACCTAGGCCTCACCCACGCTGCAACTCCACCCACTTTGGCAGCTCAGGCCCCGCCTTTCTTACTTGGCTTCCCTTGTGCCTTGCCTGTTGGGCTAATGAAGCCCCATCCCCTTGCCTCCCCGCTATAGCTGTTTTTTCCCTGCCCCATCTTACTATAGATGGTCAAGTTCTTCCGAGTCTCCTGGCTCTCGCCCCCCAGTGTTACTTTGCAGACAATCTCTTGGGTGCCCTCCAGCTCTGTGCTCGCTGTAACTATTGCTGTAGCAGTGAGCTTGTCACCGTGGCTTGTGACTGTGGAATTGAGCATCTGGTCCCCCAGCACCAGTTGGACCTGGGCCTCTGAAGCCGGAAACAGCCCGTCCAAGGTGCAGTCCACAGGTTGGGATGTTCCCATCTCCAAGAACCGGGGAACAACAAGACGGGGGGGCATCACAGGCAGGACTGGAGAGAAGAGTGGGAGTAAGCTGGAGGAGGTACACAGTGGGATGCCCCATTCCCTGTGACACACTCATGCCCCCCAACCAAGGTCCTTTTTCCCAGGATACCTTGTAACCTGGATTACTGCACATACTTCTCAAAAATTCCCATGGCCGTTAGCCTCCCTTCTGAGGCCACCTGTCCAATTGCCAAGGGCAGGCCTTCCCAGAAGCCCTTGAGGTCCAGGCCACCTCATTCTCAGGAACCTCACAGCCAGGGCATTCTGCCTTGGTTCAGCTCATCACCACCCACAATCCAAAGTCCCTTCCCTCACCAAAGGTTTGGAGCTGCCTAGGGGCTGAGCTGTTTTGGAACAGTCCTAGCCCTTGATGCTGAAGGTCCAGTTCTGAGCGACAAGAGAAATTGGCACCATGATCGTTTCTGTCTGCTAGCACCGTGGTGGTGACTTCCGCAGGCTCCCCAACTGCCAGCTGCCTGCTCAGCACATCCTTCCCACGGAGCAGCAACACCGAGAGGTGGGTCCGGGGTGCCCCGCCTGCCACCCAGCAGCGTAAGGTGAAGTTTTTGCCTACAGGCTTCCAGGGGGACATGGGTGCCAGCTCCACACGTTCCGGAAACCCTGGGGATGGGTAGAGGGAGGGAAGAATAGAACTTACCAGCCAGCCCTGCAACCCCCACCCCAAGGAGTAGAGAGTAGCTTAGGGTGGCCCAGTGCAGAACTGTGAACTTTGAATTGATAAACCTGGAGGGCTTAGAAATGTGCCAGTGGAAGTGATTGCTCTTGTCATTAGCATCATGATTATTATTTCCTGTTTTGTGAGACACCTGCCAGGCACTGAAATAAAAGTCAAATTTGCTGTTCCCAAGGACCTTACAGTTTTTTTAAAAAAGGAAAGGATATGCACATTTATGACCACTTATGATGTTAACAGTAATTATAAAAGTTCCTGTTTAGAGCTTTCCTTAGATTTTGCAGGTATTCGCCTTCATTCACATAGCAACTGAGTAAAATTTTCTCTATTATTCCTTTTACAGATGGAAAAACAGGACCAGAGAGGTGATCTGCCCAGAGATGGACAGCCAGGAAGGGCCAGAACCCGGGTTGGAGTGTGGATCTTCCAAACTTTAGACCTATGTGTCCACCTGCCTCTTTGATATAACATCTAAGTACTCCCCTGACCCTCCTCCCAGTTTTTGGCCTGGACTCTGGCCTTGACCTCTCCAAGAGCATGGTCCAGCCCTTCCCAGTCAGTCCTAGGTGCTTAAGACTCTCACAGTATACCTGCCTGGGGCAGCCTCTCGAGGTGCTCTGGCATGATCATGGGGGACCTGACACCTCCAGGCTGGGTCCTCTCCCAGATAAAGCTGCAGTGCCCTTCGCAGGGACACATACCAAACACAGCCTCCTTGGGAAGCATCTTACTCTCACTTTTGACAGCTTGAGCCTGCATCTCAAGCTGTCACAGAGGCCTATGGACTGGCTGCTGTGAAAAATATTTAACATCTTACTATTTAAAATTTTAGAATATTTGACAAGGAGGCCTCCTCCTTAACCTCAGGCACCACTGGTCAGGAATAGTGTTGTGCTGGCAAATTCTGTTTATGCTTGGGCTCTGGCGGAGTGGGAAGTAGGGAGCCTGGATAAGGAGCATTTGCCAATTTCTGCCATGTAAATACTCCCACTATGGCTTATATCAAGCTACCCAATGTGAGACAGTTAGGAGAGATGAGCACAGTCATATAGATCTCAAGCCAGGACCAACAGGCTCTGGACAGGCACAGCACTAGTCAGAGGCACTTCACAGACATGCAGAGACAGATACACAGATACATAGACAGACACATGCAGAGGTACACATTACACAGAAATATAGATACAAATGCATATATGTAGACATACTGACACAGACATCCACATAGATATTGATGCAAACACATTTGCCCACACACACATAACAGGGAGTCACACGTGGAGACATACAGATAGTCATGGAGATGCACACAGAGAGATACATACATACAGACACAAGCACACAGATGTACATTTGCACAGACACAGATTTAATGACATACATACAGACACAAGCACACAGATGTACACTTGCACAGACATATGCTGATGGACACACTTGTAGGTATGCAAACACGTACAGACACTGGCACCCACGCAAGAGCATACACATGATTGTATGTGTTTACTATACTTTAATATATGAAGGCTTCATAAAATGGTAGGCATTATGAGTATTCTCTGTTATTTTCTAGTCTATTGTATGCCTTTTTTTTTTTATCCTCACCCGAGGACATTTTTTCATTTTTTTGTTCAGATAGAGTGGGAGGGAGGAAGAGAGAGAGAGAGAGAGAGAGAAACAGCGATGTGAAAGAGACACATCAAGTGGCTGCCACCCGCACAATCAACCAGGGCTGGGGACAAACTGCAACCGAGGTACATGCCCTTAGCGGGAACTGAACCTGGGTCTCTCTGTACTGCAGGCTGACGCTCTAACCGCTTAGCCAAACCGGCCGGGACTATTGTATACCTTTTTAAAAAAAAAAAAAAAAAAAATGTTTTTATTGATTTCAGAGAGAAGAAGGGAGAAGGAGAGATAGAAACATCAATGAGAGAGAAACATTGATTGGCTGCCTCCTGCACGCCCCCTTCTGGGGACTGAGCCTGCAACTAAGGCATGTGCCCGGACCTGGAGTCTAACCAGCAACTTCCTGGTACACCGGATGATGCTCAACCAACTGAGCCACACCAGCAGGACTATTGTATGCTTTTTTTTTTTTTTCTTTAATGGTTTATGGGAAATTTTCTATTTATCTTCAGATAAAGTGGGAGGGAGGGAGGTAGAGAGACAGAGAGAGAAAGATGTGAGAGGAAAAACACATCGACTGTTTGCCTCTTACATGACCCCACCAGGGCAGGACTGAACTGAAACAGGTACGTGCCATTGACTGGAATTGAACCCGCCACTCTGGTCCGCAGGCTGAAGGTCTAACCACTAAGCAACAGCAGCCAGGGTGTGGGTATCTATTCTTAAAACAGTGGTCACTGCCAGCAGCACTAGATAAATGAAGATTTGACATTTACACATTTTATACTTTTGATTTTGGAACCCCATTAATTTATTACCTGCCATAAAAATATAAGTAATAAATAAAAGACATGCACTGTCATTTTTAAATGCTTGCTGGGACCCAAATACATTGATTTTACACTGCTGCCCTGGCATATGGTTGAGATGCATCTCTGTCTCTCTGTTTCTATCTCTGTCTCTGTCTCTCACACACATTCATAAGTGTCCAGGTCCAAGCTCTAGGCCAGAGGCCTGGCCCATTCCTGCAAACTCAGGGCCCGCTCCCCACACCATTGGCAGTTTACCCCCCACCACTGCCTGAGGCCAGTCCCACCTCCAGGCACATCTACTCACGGTACACTGTGATGTCAGAGGAGCTTGTCATCTGCGAGTCATTGCAGAAACCAGAGCAGAGGACCTTACTGTCACCAGTCACATTGCTGAGCTGGAAGGCCGCCCAGCCCAGGCCTTTGCCCACTAGCTCCTTGAATAGGAATGTCTCCAGGTTTATGAGTTTAGGTTGGGGGCAATCTGTACTGCAGTTTACCAAGAGGGATCCTCCAGCAGGCACCACTGGGTTCTGGGGCTCTGCCTGAAGCAGGAACTCCTGCCCCTGGTCACCTGCAGAAAGAGGGAAGCTCTGCTGATTGATCTAGTTACCCCCCAGCCTATTCATCTTGAGGCCCTACCATCCCACACCTCCTCAACCTGAGATATGGTCTCTGCCTTCATGGTGCTTCCCTTCCAGTGGGGAAGATAGGTGATGGATTAGGGACGGGGAAGAGCTTGGAAGGAGGCCAGGGGAGGCCCATAGGAGCCTACAGGAAGTGAATCAGAGAAGCTCCCTGGAGGAGACAACTACAGCCACTTTTGAAGGGTAAGTAGGAGTTAGCCAAATGAAAGGGAAGAGTGATCCTGGTAGAGGGAATAGAGATCCTGGTAGAGGGAATAGAGTAGGCAGAGGTCAAAGGTACAGATGGAGCAGAGAGAGAGTGGAGGGAAGACATGCAGGGACTGGGCCTCAGGGAGCCCTGAAGTCTGAATTAAGGTCCCACAACTTTCTCTCCAGGACACGGGTAAACCCCCTGTCAGATATGAGTTTAAGGTGATTGCAGCAAACAGCAGCAGGATGTGGGGTTTTGCTTTCTCCGGTCCTCTATTCTCTACCGTCCCCATGTTGACTCGCCTTACCTGGAAGAAGACAGCAGACCAGAAGCAGAGAGATGTGTGGAGTCCAGCAGGCCCCAGGCAGAGGCCTCAAAGGAACCATGGTAGCCAGCCTGTGGAGCACAGTGCCTTAATGTGGCACTGGGCAGGGCAGTGGGGAGCAGGAGGTGCCACGTAGGGGACGGAAGCACAGCCACAGTGGTTAAGATTACAGAAGTCCAGGGGCTGCACCTTGCCCAGGCCTGGGGCAGGGCAGGGCAGGGCAGGGGGGATATTATGTGGCTCTGGAGATCCAGAATGGGGAGTCCAGCTAGGGCCCAACGAAGTGATGGGCACTGTTGAATCTCCCACAGGGTGGGCTTCAGTTAACTTCTGGCTCCCAAATGAACTAACAGGAAATGCTAACACAATCATCTTCCTCTGTTCTCAGTACTGAAGGCGCGGCGGGGGTGGGGGGTGGGGGTGGGGGGTAGGGTGGTGAGACATCTTCCTGCTGAACTTAGGCAAGTGTGTAATTGTGCAGAAATTTCATTTCTTTGATATGACCTCTTTTTGATCAAACTTATCTCATCATGCACCCTGACTCTTCCACCTCTCTCTCCCTTGTAGGTCCACTTCCTTAATCACTAAACCTTCAGGACAATCAGGTTCTGGCCAGCATCAAATAATATTAGGAAGAAAGCCTTGGGTCTATTGACCACAGAGGAAATAACAGCAAGGCCTCAGTTGCATTTCCACTCTGAACCCAAGAAAGTGGAATGCTCCCATCTACCAAATGCTTGCAAAAACAGACAGAATGGTGCCATGGCTGAGATCAGGACCAGATGCAATAATCAATTACCCCTTACGCTAGCGCCAATCCATCAATAGAGACCACGACCCTAACTCCCTTCATCCCTTATATAACCCATCTCCAAGGAGCCATCAGAGAGCCAGGTCTTTGAGCACAAGCTCACCTGTGACTCCAGGTATAGCACCATTTCCTTAATTAATAAACCTTTACTTTCTTGGCTGCAAACTTGATTGGTTTTGATTTGGGCTTTGATGCATGCAGGTGATCAGACTTTTTAAATTCAGTAACAAAGGTGAAGGTGTTATTCCTAGAAGGAAAGGTAATGGGAGACCTCCAGACACTGTCCTTGAAGTGATAAGGTGGGATTTCAAGGGAACAATGGGGGACTTCTAGGGGTTAGTGTGAGCTCTCAACATTCTTGGGGGACAAATAAGAGATTTGGAGGTGATAAAGAGGGATTCCCTAAAATGACTGAAGCCATAAAAATGAACAGAGCTCACATTTATTGGGCTCTTGTGCCAGGCTCTGGCCACTGGGAGTGGTTCCTGTAGGGAGGGCCATTTACCTTTGAAGATTTTGAGGGATCCTACTACCTTTGAAGGTCTTGGGAGATCCTTGCATTCCCTATGCACAGTGCTGGGGTGAGGTGTTCAGGGGAAAGCTGAATTCTGAATCACCATTTGTCAAGGATGTTACTTGTAACTTGCTCCTACCCCTGTCTTCATCCCTCCCTTGCCTTCCCCTCAAGGCAGCAGGTCTTTTCATCCCAAGAGAAGGGACAGGGTGGTCAGGTGGCTGCTTCCACCTCCATCCACTCCATCTCTCAGGCCTCTAATCCACCTCTTCTCTGATCTGGCTCCTGTGAAGAACCTTGTTGAGGGCCTCAATGGCACCCAGCATTCATCTATTCTCCCCAACACTGAGGCCATGCCTTTTTCTCTCTCACCTGGGGTACCTCCCCACTCCATTCAAGGGTCTTCTCTGATGCCTTGCTCCCCCATCTATTTCCCACATGGTGCTGAGAGAGCAACTAAAACTCAAAAGTATTTGTAATTGATCTGTTAAGAGATTATATCCAGATTTTAAAGAATTCTTACAACTCATCAACAACAGCAAAAACCCAATTCAAGAATGGGCAAAGAAGTTGAATAGATATTTCTCCAAAAAATCTATTTAGATGACCAATAAATACATGAAAAGGTGCTCAACATCATTAGTCATTAGGGAAATGCAAATCAAAATCACAATGAGGCCCTGGTCAGTTTGGCTCAGCAGTTAGAAAGTCGGCCTGTGGTCCAGAGAGACCGGGTTTGATTCCTGCTAAGGGTGCGTACCTCGGTTGCAGTTTGTCCCTGTCCCTGGCTGGGTTGTACGGGTGGCAACCACTCGATGTGTCCCTTTCACATCAATGTTTCTCTCTCTTTCTCTCTTTTTCTCTTGTCCTCTCTCGTCCTCCCACTCTATCTGAACAAAAACAAAAACGAAAAAATGTCCTCGGGTGAGGATAAAAACAAAACACAATGAGATAGTACTTCATAGCTGTTAGGATGGCTACCATCAAAAATACAAAACAAATCAGAAAATAGCAAGTGTTGGTGAGGATGTGGAGAAACTGGAGCACTCATACTTTGCTGTTGGAAATATAAAATTTAGATTGTTCCTCCAAAAGTTAAACAATGATTCAGCAATTTCTCTTCTAAAATAACTAAGCCCTGGCCTATGTTGCTTCGTTGGGCGTCATTCTGTGCACCAAAAGGTTGCCGGTTCAATTCCTGGTCAGGGCATGTGCCTGGGTTTCAGCCTCAACCCCTGGCAGCTGATCGATGTTTTTCTTTCTCTCCCTCTCTCCCTTCCTCTATCTCTAAAAATCAATGTTAAAAATAGTAAAAAAAATACTGAAAGCAGTGACTCAGGTCCTGGCCTGGTAGCTCAGTTGGTTAGTGTCATCCTTATACACCAATGTTGTGGGTTCAATCTTCAGTTAGAGCATATACAAGAATCAACCAATGACTGCATATGAGTGGAATAACAAATCGATGTTTATTCCTCTCTCTCAAAAAAAAAAAAAAATCAATAAATAAAAAAAATTAAATAAATAAATTAAAACCTGTCCAGTGTGGCTCAGTGGATTGAACATCATCCCATAGACTGAGAGGTCCTGGTTAGATTCCCAGTCAGGGCACAAGCCCAGGTTGCAGGCTCAATCCCCAGTCAGGGGCACGCCGGAGGCAGACAATTAATGTATCTCTCTCACATCGATGTTTCTATCTCTCCCTTCATCTCTCTAAAAAATCAATAAAAACATATTTTAAAATAAATAAATTTAAAAATGTTTTTATTGATTTTAGAGAGTAAGGAAGGGAGAGGAAGAGAGAGAGACATCGATGTGAGAGAGAAACATCAATTGGTTGCCTCCTGTGTGCACTCCAGCTGGGGATTGAACCCACAACCTGGGCATGTGCCCTGACTGGGATCGAACCAGGACCTCTCAGTGCACAGGATGTCGCTCAACCAACTGAGCCACACCAGCTGGGGCAAAAAGTAAAATTCTTATATCAAAAAAAGAGCAGAGCCCTGGCCGGTTTGGCTCAGCGGTTAGTGTCGGCCTGCGGTCCAGAGAGACCCGGGTTCGAGTCCCGCTAAGGGTGCATACCTTGGTTGCAGTTTGTCCCTCGCCCTGGTTGGTAGTGCGGGTGGCAGCCACTCGATGTGTCCCTTTCACGTCGATGTTTCTCTCTCTCTCTCTCTTCCTCTTTCTCCCTCCCATTCTGTCTGAACAAAAAATGGAAAAATGTCCTCGGGTGAGGATAAAAAAGTAAAAGAATAAAAAAAAGAGCAGGGATTCAAACAGATATTTGCAAACCAATGTTCAAAGCAGCATTATTGGTTATAGTCAAAAGGGGGAAACAATCCAAATTCCATCAACAGATGACTGGATAAACAAATGTGTTATATACATACAGTGGAATATTATTCAGCCTTAAAAAGAAAATTCTGATACATGTTATAGCATGGATGAACCTTGAAAACATTATGCTAAGTGAAATAAGCCAGACACAACAAAACAAGTATTCCACTTATACAAGGTCCTTATAATAGAAAAAGAGTATCGTCTGGCCAGTGTGGCTCAGTGGTTGAGCATCGATCCATGCACCAAGAGGTCGCCAGTTCGATTCCTGGTCAGGGCACATGCCCAGGTTGTGGGCCAGATCCCCAGTGGGGGGCATGCAGGAGGTGGCCAATCAATGTTCTCTCTCATCGATGTTTCTATCTCCCTTCTTCTCTCTCTCTAAAATCGATAAAGAAAAAATTAAAAGAAATAAAGCAAGAAAAAAATCATAGAGAAGATAGAATGATGGTTACCAGGAGCTGAGGGAGGAGGGAAATGGGGAGTTAGTGTGGAATGGGGCAGTTTCTGTTTAGAAAGATAAAAAGGTTGTGTAAATCCATGGTGGAATGGCTATACATTATGAATGTATTTAATGCCATTAAATTGTACACTTAAAAATGGTTAAAATGGTAAAATTTGTATTATGTATGTATCAACACACACACACACACACACACACACACACACACTACATCTATTTATTTGTATTTGTATCCAAAACGTGAGATGGACTGATGGCCCAGGAATGAATAAATACAGTATGATACAGTAAATTTAATGACATGGAATGGTGGGATCTAGGGGTGTTCACTGTACTATTCTTCCAACATGTCTGCAATTTTCAGAATGAAATAAAAACTGCATCCCTGATGGGTATGGGTAGCTACTCCTGTCACAAAAGAAGGGACAAGAAGACCTTGAGTGACTCTTGCTGAGAGGGCACAATGGCCTCTGTGAAAGACTTGCCAAAAAATGGAAACTGAACCTAACTATCTGTTGGCTGAGATGAGGACAGAGAAATACACCAAAACTACACCACAAGGATGACATCAGACTGGTCAAGTCTACAGGACAAACAACCTTGTTTTTTCAACAAATATGTTGCAAGGGGGAACAGAAGAAGAGGAACCAGCACTAAACCAAATGCAGTGTGTGAACCTTGTTTGGATATTTGTTTGAACAAACTCCAAATACTTAAGAGACAATTGGGGAAGTCTCACAGGCTACACAATAATATCGAGGAATTATTGTTAAACTTTTTGTTGTTGTTACTCCTCACCCAAGGATATTCCTCCATTGATTTTTAGATAGAGTAGAAGGAAGGGAGGGAGAGAAACATCGATGTGAGAGAGACACATCTATTGGTTGTCTCCTGTACAACCCCGACCAAGACCAGGAATTGAACCTGCACCCAAGGTACATGCCCTTGACAGGAATTGAACCCGCAACCCTTCAGTCCATGGGCCGACACCCTAACTGCTGAGCCACATTGGCCAGGGCTAAACTTTTTAGGTGTGATGTTATAGTGATTGTTTGTGGTTACATCTTTTTGAGATACATCTGTAAGTTTGTACAGATAAAACATGATATCTGGGATTTGTTTCAAAGTGATCCAGTGACAGAAGTATGGGGGGAGGGCAGAGTTGAAATATGACTGGCCACAGGTGTTGGAAACCGTTGGTGCTGGCTGTT